AGTGATATCAGACCGGGGAGTCGAATTTGCTGCTAAGTTCTGGAGGGAGGTTCTGAGATCCATTGGTTCATCCCAGGGCCTTAGCTCGGCTTTTCATTACGCTACTAATGGATCGCCGAAACAATCCAATGCAATGGTGGAACAATACATTAGATGTTACATAAATTATCAATAAGAAAACTGGGTGGATGTTGTTTGCAGAAGTGGTTTATAATAATGTAGTACATAGTAGTACAGCATTGACTCCTTTTCGAATAACTACCGGCATGGATTTTGTGCCTATGCCTGAATTACCTAGAGAACCACTCACTTCCATGTCCCTAACAGAATGGATGGCCTCATTACCAAAAAGGTGGAAGAATACTAAGAAAGCTTTAGCGGAAGCAGCTTAGAAATATAAAAAACAGGCAGACAAACACAGGCCTCTCCAACCACCTTTTCGGATAGGAGACAAAGTGTATTCATCAACTAAATAGCTAAGATTGAGGTTAGCGAGCAAGAAATTCGGACCTAATTTTCTCAGTTCTTTTCCTTATAGTGAAAGTGATTAACCGTATGACTGTCCAACTTGGTCTCCCTCGGATACTAGGGAAAATACATCTGGTGTTTCCCAGCAACTTATTGAGACCATTGCAAAGTGGATCAGCCCACAGCCTGTGGCTGGAATGGGGCCAATTGCAGCCTTGGTCAACCCTGGGGTGCGAATGACCCAACACCCAGGCTAGATGAATCAGCCCGGCCCGGCGATGACAGGCCCACAGCAGAGCTTCTGGGGGATTCTAACCCTGAGTTCATAGCTGACATTTGGATTACCACCAGTGAGCCAGATCCCATCAGGGTGGGCCTTTTACCCAGGTCAAGGATGGGTGCAGTATCAGTGGACGCCAGCCCTGATCCAGCAGCCGGTGCTAGTTCATCCGCTTGGGGCTTTCCACTTTCAGATTGTGACCCCACAGGCAATCCCGGTCCAGCCGCAACCGCAAATGCAGCCCCAAGTTGAAATCCCCCAACAAATCCCAGCCCAACAGCAGCCGCCAGGGGGATTGCCACCGGATCAGGTCCAGCAACAAGTGCCTGCCCAGCAACCCACTTGAGTCCAACAGCAAGCCTCACCGGCTCTCCCAGCTTCCCGATTCCGGGCAACATTCAATGGGACACCTGGAAGGCTAGCCTATTTCTTCAATTGAGTCTGAGCACATATCAACCAATATATGTGCATTTTAACTACCTCCCTCCTCATTGATCAACCAACTGCGTAATAGAATTTATGCCTGGGGCAAAGCTACCTAAGCCTAAGATGTACTCCATGACCACTAACGAAATGGTGGAACTAAGGAAATACATCGATATCAATTTAAAGCGGGATTTTATCCAGCCTGCTAAATCCAAAGTAGCTGCCCCCATTCTCTTTAAAGAGAAAAAAGATGGTGTGTCTGTGTCTCTGTCTGTGTGTCTGTGTGTGTGTCTGCATTGACTTTCGCGGAATTAACAACATCTGCGTGGGAAACACCTACCCCTCCTCCTCATTAAGGGCATGTTGAATCACCTGTCCAAGGGCAAAGCGTTCACAAAATTGGACTTAAAAGAGGCGTATTACTGCATACAAATTCGGAAAGGGGATGAGCGGAAGAAAGCTTTCAACTGCCCTCTCGGGAGCTTCCAATTCAACGTCATGCCGTTTGGCTTGCAAGGGGCCCCTGCTGTCCTCATGCAATTAATAAATGAGGTCCTGCATGAGCACCTTTACAAGGGGGTTCTCATTAATTTAGATGATATTCTCATCTTTATCAGGAAGAACACGTAAAGGTGGTGTGGCAAGTTCTGAAGAAACTCCTTGCCAAGCTTTATGCAAAGCTATCAAAGAGTGAATTCCACAAAACCTCCCTGGATTACCTTGCATATTGAATTTCCAACAAGGAAATAGAATGGACCCAGGCAAGGTGAAAGCTGTGCTCGATTGTCAACCCCACACACCTGTAGACAACTACAGAGTTTCCTGGGGTTTGCTAACTTTTACCAACAATTCATCCCTGTGTCAGGGTGCCAAATAGCATCCAAAAGTAAATCAGAGTCCGAGGCAAAGGATTCCTTCAATTTATTAAGAGAGCCATGTTGGCACATCTGGGAAAACCCAAATCTGAAAGGTTTTCCAGGTTTTTCCACCCAGTTGAAAGTTCAGGATCCTGCCCCCACCACACATAAGTACATCACATGGTCCAATCTTCTACTGGCATGCTGGCAGCTTCCACCCATCCAGTTCCAGCTAGGTGCAGAGACAAAGGATGACCTTGACTTTTTAGAAAGAATTTTGTTATTGCTACCCAACTCTGTATAAGCCCCTCATCCCATTTTCCCACAATAGAAAATGCACCCTTGAATAATAGAAAGTGTGGCAAGCCTGAAGTCCAAAAAAGAAAAGATGGCTTATAGGCCTGACACTTGGCTTTCGCGGAAATCGCTCTGCCCCTGACTGAATTGTTTAAAACAGGAACTCCACCAACAAAACAAAAGCTGACCTAATCAATTGTGTGGACAATGGACTGCCAAAAAGCCTTTGAGAAGTTGAAACGGCTTTTTGGTTAAGAGCCCATTTTGCAGCACCCAGATCCAGAGCAGCAATTTATAATACAGCCAAATGCCAGCAACGTGGCTGTAGCAGCAGTGCTTTTGCAAAGAAACCCAAAAGGACAACTCTTGCCTTGTGCTTATGTCTCCAGAAAACTCACTAACACTAAAAGACGATGGGCTATTTGGGAGAAAGTCCGCTGGGCCTACTCTCATGGAGACACTTCCTAGAATGGGAGAAGGTGCCATTCGAGGTCTGGACTGATCATAAAAACCTCAAAGTCCTGAGTAATCTGGAGAGTCATTGACTTGTTTTCCAAGCAAGCCCATTTTATCGCTTGCTCAGGGTTACCATCAGAGAAGAAGCTAGCGAAGATATTTGTCAAGCACATCTACTGCCTGCATGGTGTACCCAGGAGAATCATCTCTGACCAAGGAGTCCAGTTTATACCGCCAAGTTCTGGAGGGAGTTCCTGAGGTCCATTGAGTCCATGTAAGGAGTTAGCTCGGCTTTCCATCCGAGCACGAACGGGGCGGCAGAACATACGAACGCAATGGTCAAACAATACATCTGTTGTTGTGTGGATTACCAACAGGACAATTGGTCAGACCTGCTACCATTTGCCAAAATGGCATACCACAATGCGGTCCATAGCAGCACTGGATTAACTCCTTTCCAAGTTACCTGCAGCATGGAATTTGTTCCCATACCTGAACTGCCCAAGGATCCCCCTTTCTCAATGTCTTTGACTGAATTGCTGGGCTTTCAAAAATGGACAGGAGAATACCAAAAAAGGAGAAGGAGAATACCAAAAAAACTCTGGCAGATGTGGCAGAAGTATATAAAAAACAAGCAGACAAGTACCGCTCACTTCAACCCCCCCTTCCATATGGGAGGTAAAGTTTTTCTATTGATCAAATACATAGAGTTGAGGATGCCTAGCAAGAAATTAGGACCTAAATTTTTAGGTCCCTTCTCAATAGTCAAAATAATTAACACAGTTACAGTTCAGCTCAGCTGGCCTAGAATTCTAGGGAAGATACACCCTATTTTCCATTGTAGCTTGCTGAAACCTGTGATTGGGTCTAGTTTACTACCTCAGATCCAACCACCCCCTCCTCCTGTAGTAGTGTAAGGAGAAACACATTATGAAGTGAAAAAAATATTCGTTTCTAGATTGTATAGAGTTTGGTTACAATATTTAGTGCATTGGAAGAAGAGTGAGCGGCGAGTGGACGGGTGGGTGGGACGAGCAGGTGGGTGGGGCAAACAGTGACCGAGTGACTAGGTTGGCAGGGGCAGGGCCAGCCAGATGTGGTATTTGCCTGTTTGATGAACCAGTTAAATTTCCGCTACCGGTTCGTCCAAACCGGTCGAAACCAGCTGAATGCCACCTATGATAGGTGAGCAGCAATCATCCTGCCACTCCGATCAGCACCTTGTGTGGCCTCTGGTTCCTTCTGCCCTATAGGCAGCCAAAACAAACACTTGCTCGCTTCCTTCCAGACTTCTTGGATGCCACTGGCTGACAATTACAGTCCTACTGTATTTTTAATAATTCATTTAATTTTTGGAGTAGAAGACTTCGAGGGTACCTTTCAACCTTACTGTTCTATGCTCTATATTCCAAATTGCTAACTATTACTCTATATCCAGATGGACAGCACTTGGAGTGGTAGATATTCCAAGAATATCCACCACTCCATCACTCCAAGTGCTGTCCATTTGGAAATGACTTCATGGGCGGCTTTATCCTATAATCATGGCAAAAGCTGTTAACAAAGAACATCTTTTCAGATTTACTTCTCAATATAAAAAAGCTTCAAAATTACAGTACTTACCATCTGCACCTTAAATGGTGCAGGAATAACAGACTGATTTGAAAGACAAAGTGCCCTGGAAACATTCTTTAAAACCTGGATGCAGCCAAAATCTATCGTAGTTGGATGCACATAAACAACAGGACCTTCTCCAAAAGTCACCAATTGGATTTTCTATGGCAGGGAATAAAAAGAAGCAAGCAGAAGAAGTTAATACAGCAACAATTATTTGACTTATTATGACTGGATACTGTAAAATAGCCTTCCACAATCTAAGCGACCCCTTGATGCATGAATTACAACTGTCAAAATTTCCTAGAAAACATAAGCATAGAAGAGAATCCTGAAAGGTGAAGTCCTCACAATTACAAGATACTTAAATTGAGGAAAGTTATTTTTCATGCATCCTTGGATTTGGTGCTTAGGTATCAACTTTATACTTAATTAAGAGGGGGAAAGCTATTTAAAACCTATTTTTTGCTGTGGTAGTCACAGGACTGGACTGGACTGGTTCCAAGGCCTTGTAACTCTTCCCCACAGGGCTGGACAACCATTTTGCTTTCACTCAATTGTCGAGTTGTAATACATTAGAATAGACATTTCCTCATGGTCCATCTTGGTAGCTGAGGAGAGCAAAGGGATTCTATAAGAAGAGATTGTTAACATCTACCTGAAGGATTTAAAGGGTGAAGCAGCCTATCTTCACAGGTGAGAGCCGTGTGTGTGTGTGTGTGTAAGTTTGAATGACGAAGTGCTGAGCAGTCCAATGAGAGAAGACTGACTGAACAGTGTGTGATCACAACTAAAAGTTGAAGAGGATTCTTGGTGGTCCATTGATGCTGAATACTAGGCAAAGTACCATGGACAGCAAGGCCACCACCTTTAGATTGGATGGATGAGATGGGAGCCACAGGTGATCTAGGATAATTCGCCACAGTTAACTTTCCATGATCAATTTGCCACAGGACAATTCAATGATGTATTAATCGTTTCATTCAGTTACTTTTATTATTGGTTACTACATTATTTTCCAAAATTATTGTAACTCTTGTACTTCTGGATTGACTTAATTTTATTATTATTATTGCCACGGTTCCATTGAAGTTAATTTAACTTTTGTATTTGTTGAATTTTCCACAGAGAGTTGTCTTGTGGTGAGTTGTGCCATTCCAAGCCATAGACTGTGACATAAACTGCTATGGACAGGGGCGGGGGGCTCTAAAGGAATGGAAGCAGGCAGTCAAATCCTGGTAATGTCCACTAAAAGTTACTTTGTTGAGTTGGGTGACTATAGAAATTGACTGACTGAACAAATTGATTATTTATTTCTGAGGAAGGTAGTTTTTCTGTTCTGGGCGAGTAAATTCCCACTCAAGAACATATGGCAATAACATAACTATCTGCCCCAGGAAACACTCTCATCCAGGAACCAAACATTGAGAGAGAAGTATTGAAGTTGGAGATCCAGCACGAGCTTAGGAGGGTCTTCCCTTCTACCACTACAAACATTTTTGTAGCTGAGGAGGCCTGCATTTCAGCCTCCTTTCTGAAGCCTAGGAAGATGTAAATATTCTTAGGATCTTTGTTCTGTACATATAAAGTGCCTCAATATCTTGAGCAGTAAAATTGTATGGAAAAATTTCTGTTTCTCAAGTGAATGATGTAGTACACATTCCCAATTACATAATATTCAAATTTCCAGAATAAATTAGAAATAAATGTTTAACTGTAAGATTTTACAAGGGATTTTTCCTTGTATTCTAGACTCAGCTCTAGCCACTTACATATGGACTTTTTAACCATTCCCAAACCCAGACACATATACACACAGACACATATAGTATCATTTTGCTATGGATCATCTGGAATGCCATTTTCAACCATCCTTTGTTCTATTGTCAAATACTAGAATGGCAGATCCTAGGATCGGTCTCAATAAATGATCTACCTCTTTTTCCTTCTCTAGAATATTTTCTCACATAAAGCAAACCAATGACCTTATCATTACCAATGGATCAGTCTTTTCCTGACCTCCTGCGGCTGAGGAACTTTATTGAACTTACTGTAGGTAATACAAGATGTAATACAGGCCTCTTTATTCCTGCTCATTCAATCCACTCACCAGGGGAAAGTCTTCATTCCCAAAGATAGCTATGTAGGCCATTGTTTCCTGGTGGCCTTTTTCCTCGACTTCTAAAACTAATGGGATTTCAACTGTGGCATGAGGTGGAATAATACCGCAAGGCACTGGACTTGAATACAAGATGGTGGGAGAGTTCTTATATTCCTAGGTGAAGATAAAAGCACTAAGAATTACCTGCTTGAAGTCTTTCTGTTTCTATGCTTTCACCCCAATGTCAGGTTCCGAAGGGTTAATGAAAACAACCAAACAAAAACGGTTTGTAAATGCAGTTTGTATTCTTCCTCCGGCACAAACTGACCAACAAAGCACTAAGGTGATGAATAAATTGTCAGAGCTGCCGCCCTGTGCTTCCCACCAACTTTTATAGTTACATTGGTTATATTAAACCACACACCCCGCCTGCACACACCCATCCCCTTGTGACCCAGAGCAAAAACCACCCGGCAATTAATCATGGATTGTTAGTAGGAGCTTTGCAATTTCGTCAGCTAGCTAGACAGCTTGTGGGGGAGGGAAGGTGAGTCTTGGCAGCTGGCCCAGTCTTCTCCCCTCAATGGCAGCTCCAGGCCTCTGGGCTGACCGGAGCTGACACACAATAAAATCCATGTCTTTTATTTATTTATTTTATTATTCATGATAGAGCTCTGAAAATTTATTTCAGCAAACCTTTCAGCAGTTGTTTTCAATAGTATGAGAACAACAAAGCAAGAACTTTATAAAATCCTTATAAAATATAAATAAGAGTAGAGGTCAAGAAATGATTATAACTGGGCTAAAACATTTCTCTCCTCTTTTCTATAGGCACATTATGAAATCCACCTTGCCCCCAGAAATGCTGCAGTTTCATCCTCCTGTACAAGACCATCAACCTGAATGAAAAGCCCCCTCCAGAAGCAGCAGGACCTTCAAATAGGGAAGAGAGAAGTCAAAAATCAAACCAACCTGGGGAAGAACACCATAGCACCCTGGAAGGTCAGCTTCATTAACAAGTTTTGCCACTTGCTGATACTGAAATTTCAGGAAACAACGTCCAAAATTCACAGTGGGGCTAACCACATGTAGTGGAGGTGTGAGGCATCTAGTTAATCAGAAAAGCAAATCAATAAAAAAAAATTTAAATTCTAATCATTTAGATATAGAGAATAACACATTTATAAAGTCTCATCAGCTTGTTATTAGTTATCGGAAGCTGTAGGTTTCTAAAACTTCATACAATACATTAAAAGTAAAGCAGACCACACCTGACCCTAAGTCTCAAGAGGGCTGGGCCTTGATATTTTCCCGTTAGTTCAGATTCTTGAGATTTGAAAGCCACGTTACACAGAAAATCAGACTTGGAACTGGAAATCCGAGCTAGAGGTGTGTCAAGCATGTTCGCAACACTCCGTCACTTTCCTCAGGCTCAAGATCTTGTCAGCACCTTTTGACCTGTCCTGTTTATGACAAGCCAGTGTGGTTTCTCTAGAATTCCCCTTGCTATTTCTCAACCAGATTTCAAAATGCCCTACCAATCTCCAGAAAAAGAGAGCAAAGTGTTGCTGCAGACTAGCACTTGGTTCAATAATCATGAAAGCCTCCGAAAAGATATTCAAATAATATGATATGTCTACACCTACAAAGACCATGGCACTCTATGGATGTGAAAGTTGTACTTTGAAGAAGTGGAATAAGTAATGTAATGATGCCCTTGAACTTTGGGGTTGGAGAAAACTTCTGAGAATGCCATGGACAGCCATGAAAACAAACGAACAGTCTTGAACAAACCTTGAACAAAACAATTTGATTTTGGATAGCACCATCCATCTCTACGTTGTGATATTCTTCTACCTAGTTTTACTGTTATATACCGTGGGTTATGCTTTATCCAGGTACTTAATTTTTAGATTATCAGAATGCATTTAATCAAAGACAATATTTTTTTCCTGCTTCTTATTCCAGCCATTTATTTCTCTTGCCCTGCTTCTACCGGTAGTGTTGGGAAAGTCACAGTGGATAGGAAATGTACCAGTTTGTTTTCTTTGGTTTCCTGACTTTATTGGTCTATGTCTTCCTTATCAGTGTTTCCCACAGTTAAGGCAAAATGTCATAAACAATCCCAACTAAATGTAAAATCCTGGTTTCCTTATTTGTTGGTCTACCTGAACATAAACTAGGCAAATGTTCCTTTTATTTATGAGTATGCACTTCATTCCTTTGGATCTATCAGCAAGACATCCTTATTTGACCATCCTGCCAAGATTACAAACAAGGGTAGCATAAGAACATAAATCATATGAATATGAAAAGGCACAGTGATAGCCCAAGCCTTGTCTTATCTCGCATTCTAAAAGACTGGACAATCACTTGTTTGAAATGGTGTAAGGTCTCCTCAGGAAGGAGCAATAGCAATAGCAGTTAGACTTATATACCGCTTCATAGGGCTTTCAGCCCTCTCTAAGCGGTTTAC